ACTCCACCAAAAAACTGTTACAACTAATAAACAGATTCAGTAAACTGTAGGATACAAAATCAATGTACAAAAATCAGTTGTATTTCTATACATTAACAATAATTTACCTAAAAAAGAAATTAAGAAAAAAAATCCCATTTATAAGTGCATCATAAAGAATAAAATACCTAGGAATAAATCTAACCAAGGAGGTGAAAGATCTGTTCACTGAAAACTATAAGATATTGATGAAAGAAATTGAAGAAGACACAAATAAATGGAAAGATACTCAGTGCTCATGGATGGGAAGAATTAATATTGCTAAAATGTTCATAGAAACAAAAGTGATCTACAGATTTAATGCAATTCCTATCAAAGCTCTAATGGCATTTTTCACAGAAACAGAAAAAAACCCTAAAATTTGTATGGAACCACAAAAGACCCCAAATAGCCAAAGCAATCTTGAGAAAGAAGAACAAAGCTGGAGGCATTACACTTCTTGATTTCAAACTATATTACAAAGCTGTAGTGATCAAAACATGGCATTGGCATAAAACAGACACACAGATCAATGGAACAAAAGAGAGCACAGAAATAAACCCACGCATACATGGTCAATTAAATTACTACAAAGAAGCCAAGGGTATACAATGGGAAAAGGTAGTTGCTTCAATAAATGGTGCTGGGAAAACTGGGCAGTCACATGCAAAAGAATGAAACTGGACCCCTATCTTATGCCACATGCAAAAATCAATTCAAAACAGATTAAAGAATTGAATGTTTAAGACCTGAAACCATAAAACTCCTGGAAGAAAACATAGGAGATAAGCTCCTTGACACTGGTCTTGGCAATGATTTTTTGGATTTGACACCAAAAGCAAAGACAACAAAAATAAAAATAAACAAGTGGACTACATCAAACTAAAAAGCTTCTACACTGTGAAAAGCTTCTACACCGTCAACAAAATGAAAAGGCAACCTACAGAATGAGAGAAAACATTTGCAAATCACATATCTGATCAGGGATTAATATCTAAAATATATAAAGAATCATATAACTCAACAGCAAAAAACCCCAAACAATCCAATTAAAAAATGGGCAGAGGCACTGAATCAGACCTTTTTCCGAAGACAGACAAACGTCCAACAGGTACACGAAAAGGTGCTAAACATCACTAATCATCAGGGAAATGCAAATCAAGATCACAATGAATATCCCCTCACACCTATCAGAATGGCTATCGTCAAAAAGAGAAGTGACAACAAGCCTTGGCGAGGATGTGGAGAAAAGGGAACCCTTGTGCACTGTTGGTGGGAATGAAAATTTGTGCAGCCACTATGGAAAACAGTATGCAGCTTCCTCAAAAATTAAAACTAGAACTACTATACGATCCAGTAATCCCACTTCTGGGTATTTATCCAAAGGAAATGAAAACAGGATATCAAAAAGATATCTGATTCTCATGTCTATGAGAGCATTAATCATAGTAGTCAAGGTATGGAAACAACCTAAATGTCCATCAAAGGATAAACGGATAAAGAAAATGTAGTTCACATATATGTACATGCATATGTATATACATGTACATATATATATACAATGGAATATTATTCAGTCATGAGAAATAAGGAAATTCTGCCATTTATGACAACAGGGATGGACCTTGAGGGCATTATGCTAAGTGCTATAACTCAGACAAAGACAGTACTGTATGATACCACTTTACGTGGAATCTTAAAAAGCTGAATCACAGAAACAGAGTGGGGGAAATGAGGAGATGTTGGTCAAAGAGTACAAACCTCTAGCTATAAGATTCCTAAGTTCTGGGGATCTAATATACAGCCTGGAGATTACAGTTAATAACACTGTAGTATATGATAGAAATCTGCTAAGAGAGTAAATCTTAAATGTTCTCATCACAAAAAAGAAATGGTAACTATGTGACGTGATGGAGCTGTTAGCTAACCCTATGGTGGTGATCCTTTTGCAATATAAAACTGTATCAAATTAACTCATTGTACCTCTTAAACGTAAACAATGACATAGTCAATTAGATCCCAATAAAGCTGGAAAAAGTATAAAAATAAATAAATAAATATTCTGATATTTTTCTCCTATAGACACAAAAAAGGGAAACAAGAACATGGAAACAAAACAAGAAGTGAATACACTTTGCTGTCTTACTTTGCAATGCTATTTCCAAATGTTTTGAAAACTTTTCTAAATTTTATTTAAATTATTTTAGATATAAATATATTTATATGTATTTTATATTTTTATTTATATATAAATATAACATTTTTAGATTTTCAAAAGAATTTAATGATATTTTATTCAAAAGTAAAATTTATTTATAATATATTTTCTTATATTTGAGAATGGACCATCAGCTTTACAAAGGAGAATTAAAAGATTCGCTTTTTCATTCCCCAGCTGTTTCACTGGGAAAAGATGAGACCAATACATCAGAGATTTCTCTGACTCATGAGAGGGAGACATCTACTCCAAAGGAACTGGGCTGAACTGTGTGAACGAAAAGCAAATAGGAGGAAAGTTATTTTTCCCTTGGCTTTATAGATGTTAATAATTTACCTTATTGTGTCTTATTCAATAGAATGTTTTCAAACACTATTATAGTGCTAGTTAATTGTGGCATCAATTTGAGACCAATCATTCAGAGTCTAAACAAAAAGGAATTAAATAATTCAAACATAGATGTGATAAGTTAATACTTTATCAACAGAACTGTACTTCTGCCTTAAAACAGAATCTCTAGATACGGCTGGACTAGCCGTGTTGCTTGTATTCATCTGGTATCAGCACCAACTAAGGACAGGAGGGGTTTTTTTTAATTTTAAGGTTGGCACCTGAGCTAACAACTGTTGCCAATCTTTTTTTTTTTCCTAATTTTTCTCCCCAAATCCCCCCAGTACCTAGCTGCACATTTCTTTTAGTTGTGGGTCCTTCTAGTTGCGGCGTGTGGAATGGCGCCTCAGCTCGGCCTGAGGAGCACTGCCACGTCTGTGCCCAGGATACAAACCAGAGAAACCCTGGGCTGCCGAAGTGGAGCGCAGGAACTTCACCACTGGGCCACGGGGCGGCCCCAGGACAGAAGTTCTTTTAGCTGAAACCGGCAATACATACATGTGGTATACAAACACTTAAAGTGTTCAGTAACTATTTTGAATCTCATGGTTTCTCCTGAGCATGATGTTTGTACTTATGGTGCAAAAGCAACAGTGTTTTAAAACTGCTGTGCCTCACATGAATAAAGCAGGGACGGCAGCCAGTGTGTTCTTCACCACTCCATACGCACAGTAAAGACACTGCCAGTTTCACATAAAAATGTGTTTGATGAAGCAGTATCAAATATTACTTTCATTAAATTTTACCCTTGAGAATACTTTTTTTTTTTTTTGGAAGATTAGCCCGGAGCTAACATCTGCTACCAATCCCCCTCTTTTTTTGCTGAGGAAGACAGGCCCTGAGCTAACATCCATGCCCATCTTCCTCTACTTTATATGTGGGACGCCTGCCACAGTGTGGCTTGATAAGTGGTGCAAAGGTCTGCACCCCGGATCAGAACTGGCAAATCCTGGGCCGCCAAAGTGGAACGTGCAAACTGAACCACCGTGCGGTCCCCAAGAATACTTTTTATAAAAAAAAAATTCTGTGTGGTGAAAAGGAAAATATGCATAAAGCACTTCTGTGACATAAAAATTATGGTTGTCTGGAGGAAAAGCACCTGTGCAACCGTCTGAGCTGCCAGATCAATTAGCCACTTTTTTTTTTCATGGAAATTTAGCTGAAAGCATGACCAGCAGACAAATGATGGTTATTCAAACTTAAGTGTTTGGCAAACACTTTATCAAAAATTAGCAGAGTCATCCTAGTAGGAAAACAACTGACAGTATTTGTAGCCAACGCTAAATTTGAGTTTTTAAACAGAAATTAGAATCTTGGAAAATTTGTTTCTGCCAATATGAGCTTGACAGCTCCCCAATACTTAAAGACATTTCTGATAAGATCAATGGTGAGAGGAATGAATGTCAATTTTGATACTGTAAAAAGAGTACGTCAAATGTTTGGAAGATTTGCATAACTTAATGAACCAATATTTCCCAATGAACCACGCGTGAGGCTATGCAACCCTGCCTGGGCAAAAGATCCATTGAAAGTACAAGATAGACCAACACATTTTCATTTAACAGGATGAAAAGCTCATTCATATAATTTCAGATTCCACATTGCAATTAACCTTTAAGAAACTACTATTTTCAAATTCTGGTGAGGTATCCAAGGAAACTATCTACAATTATCTGAGATGGCTATTAAAATATTCCTCTCTTCCAGCTACATTATCTGTGTGAGGCTGGATTTTCCTTCATATACTTTAACCAAAACAGCCTATCACACCAGACTGAATGCAGACTATATAGGGGAAGCTAGCTATCTTTTATGTTAGACAATAAAGAGATTTGCAAAAATGTAAAACAATGCCATTCCTATTAAACATTTTTTTTTCTTGGAAAAGATTATTGTTTTTCATAAAAATATGCAATTTGTGGGGCCAGCCCCGTGGCATAGTGGTTAAGTTCAGCATGCTCCGCTTTAGCGGCCTGGGTTCTTGGCTTCAGATCCCAGGTGTGGATCCACACCACTTGTCAGCCATGCTGTGGTGGCATCCCACATCCAAAACAGAGGGAGACTGGCACAGATGCTAGCTCAAGGATATCTTCCTCACCGAGAAAAACCTATTTGTGTTAACATGTAATCAATTTATTGTTATTTTAAAATGAAATAACACATATTTTAAAAACTTATGTTTTAATTTCAAGTGTGATAAATATTGATAAATATAACCCACATTAAAAAAACCCTCATTGTGATCCTCAATAATCTTTCAAAGGGTAAAGTGGTACTGAGAGCAAACAGTTTGAAAACTGCATTTCCAACATACTAAAGTATTCTAAGAAAAGGAAAAACAAAGCTGACAGGTTATTAAATAGACATCACTTACAGCAAAAAGGCCTCACTCACAGCATCGAAGAACTCAGGCCAGAGCACCTCCTGAGGTTCACATCCATGGCAGGTGAGCAGCGCCTCCACCAGGGGTTCAAAATCCGGCAGAGTAATAAGCGGGACACAAACTCGTGACAGGGCCCTCACTCGTTCAGGAGTCATTCTATGGATTAAATAAGAAATAATTACCCAAATCTTAGAGCCACATGTAATTAAAGACATAAAATCTTCATGCTGAAAAGACTGATGACAGGTCACTTGCTTTTGCCCTTCACAGAAAGACGGCTACCCTAACATCATCTATGAATTCGCTTCCCTTACTCAATTCTCTAAGAAGAAACACTAGCTAAAGTTCCCATTTTAACATCACTCATTGTCAGGTCTTTGGCATAACTCTCTATAGGCACCTCCAACTTACCACGCCAAAAACAGAGCTCCAGAATTGGTTCCCCAAATGTCCTCTCCCCTCGAGTGCTCCATCTCTCATCTGCTGAGGCCAAAGCCTTCCAAGCTCCTTCTCGACTCCGCCCTTTCTCTCACGGCCCTTGTCTGCTCCAGCGGTAATTACTGTCAATTCATTTGACTCCTTCTCTGCACTTCCATCACTGCCCCCTTAATTCAACATCACCTCCAGCCTGGGGAACTGTAGGAGCCTCCTAAGCTTCTCCCCGCTTTTGCTCTCAGCCCCACTGTTCATCATCACAGTTCCAGCAACCTTTTAAAAAGTCAAATCACTTCACTTGTCTGCTCAAAGTGTTGCCATAGCTTCCCGCCTCACACAGAGAACACGCCAAGGCCTTCCATGATGGGGCCTCTTCTGTTTCTCTGGCTTCATCTCCTTCCACTCTTACCCTTGCTCATTCTGCTTTGGCCTTACAGGCCTCCAACTACTCCAGATAAGGCCCTGTTGCTCATTCTGCCTGGAACACACGGCTAACTTCATTTCATATAGGTCTCAGCTCAAATGCTGCTTTATGTGAGGGCTTCCCTGACCATCCCATATAAACGCACTGAACAATACCATAGCAATCAGCCACATGTGGCAATTTAAATTCATATTAATTTAAATGAAATAAAATTCCACTCCTCAGTTGGACTAGCCACAGATCCGGTGTTCAACAGCTGAGTGAGGCTACCGCTTACAGTATTGGATGGTGCAAATTTACAGGACTTATCCATTACTGCAGAAAGCTCCACTGGATAGCAGAGCTTAACACAGCGAGTGCCCTCCCACCCCACTGTGTACTTCCTCTCTCTCTCTCACCCTGGTTCACTTTTCTCCAGGATCCTTTTCATCACTGAGCTATATCGTATTTACTTGTTTACTGTTCCTGATCTGGTCCTCCCTGCTGGCACATCAGCTCTACGAGAGCAGGCACTTTTTTCTGTTTTGCTCACTGCTCTATTCCTAGCACGTGGGGACAACTCCTTACACATACTACATGCTCAAGACATAGATGTTAAATGAAGAAGTGAACTAGAGATCAATAAAATGAAAGTTTGAGATGTATGCTATTAGATCTTTTTCTAGGTATTTTCATATATATATCGTCATAAATCTAGAAACTTAGTGTTGTTTTGTGAAACATAAATGGAACCACGATATAGAACACACAGTCCCTCATTTTTCTTTACTTGCTGCCTATTATTAAAGAGTATGTGTTCTGTAATTTAACAGTGCCTCTATTTGCAGGCATTCAGGTTGTTCTGAATCGGTCACTATGACAGACACTAGCTGCAGTGGCAACCCTGCACACGCCCACCTGTCCCCCATGTGAGTATCTGCATGTTAAATTGCCTTCCAAAACCCACCAGTTTACTTTTCCACTCTTGCCAGTAATATTCTTCTCAGTATTTTTATTTCTTGCTAATCTGGACAAAAATTATCCCATTGCTTTCATTTGCATTTTCCCGATAACTTCCGAAATCAAGTACTTATGTTTGTTACCCACCTGTATGTCCTCTTCAGTGAATTTGCTTTTATTCATTTAATAAATAATTTTTTGAACCCTTACTATATGCAAGGCTGCCTGTCGTGTTCATGATACAAAAGCAAAGACAAAGCCTAGCAACGGAGGGAATGAAATGCCAGATGACAGCAAGTGCCACACTGAAAAGTAAAGCACACTGACGCATTAAGGCAGGCGAGAATTGGCCGAGGGAACACTGAGCAGAGATTTAAAGGAAGTCTATAAACAAAACCTGTGTATATCTGGGAGCAAAATGCAGCAGGCAGACACAAAGCAAATGCAAAGACCCTATACAGCGAGGAGGCCAAGCTGCTAGACCCCAGTGAAGGGGGGAGGGGAGGAGAAGTCAGGCTTTTGTAGACCATTGTAGGAGGCCCAGATATTCTTTTTCTTTTTTTTAACTTTTTTATTTTTATCAGTCTTATAGATACAACTACCTTATATAGTGAAATAGCTCTTCAAAGCTTATGAAAAACAGCATCTTTTGAAAGAGCACTGCCACCCCCATTTTCTGATCTCAGAGGCAACCATTTTCAAGCCTAACTCATTCCTTAAATATTCAATATGTTGTTTTTCCCTGGGTTTAATGACTGTTATTTGCCTTGTTTGTTTGCAATGATTGTTATTTTAACCCCAAACTCCCACCCAAGTGTGTAATCTCCTTGTAATACATTCAAACACATCTGACATTCTACCATTTTCATCTTCTTAAAGAAATTTCTCCTAGAACATTTTGACCTGTTCCGTTCTGGACAGGTTGCTTTGTACTCCCTCTGTACACTTATTATCTTGGGATCTCCATCCTGAGGATGTCCTACACTTCTCTCCTGGATTCCATACCTTCTTTCTTGGTTCATATTTCTTATGTGGGAAAAGGTACAAGAGAGGTAAAGTATTTGAGACCTTGCAAGTCTAAAAATGTCTTTATTTTACTCTCACATTTGATTGATACTTTGGCTAAGTATAGAGTTCTGGTCATTTTCCTATAGAACTGTGAAAGAGTGGTCCTACTGTCTTTTAGCTTCCAGTGATCTTCTTGAGGAGTTCTATGCTAGGATGAATCCTGATCCTTTGCATAAGTCCTATTTTTACTCCATGGAGGCTCTTGGATATCCTCTTTGAAATTTTCAAAATGATGTGTTTTGGTATGGATTTATTTTTATTCATTGTGCTGGGCACTCAGCAGATCTTAAATCAGGAAAGTTCTCTTGGATTATTTCTTTGATAATTTCCTACCCATTCTTTTCTCTGTTTTTTTCTGGGAACTCCAATTTTTTGGATGCTAAACTTCTGGACAGTTCTCTATCCTTTCTTTCTTATTTTTTTTATTTTTAAAAAATTTTTTTTGGCTCACTGCTCCATTTATTAGAATAATCACATTTGGAGAGGCACAAAGCACTTAAGTTTTACATGACTACAAAGTTATCACAAATCCCAAACTTTTCAGCCACAGATATTTCACTTATTCCATTTAAAGAAAAAGCTTTCAAAACATCTTAGTTTGATGCACAGAGACCCTGAATACATGGGAACTACATATTTTTAAATGCTTGTACTTCCTGCTCTGATAATGTCTTCTTTAAATAGAATCCAGCACAAAAGGGATTGAAATACGTAAGGTCATGATGCAAATGCTTTGGAGAGAGAGTGAAATCAATCTGTACAACATGGAAAAAGATGTAGTGTGCACAGAGGTTCTGCAGGGAGTCACTGAGCCATCTGGGCTTCCATGGCTTGTGCTGTCCATTCTGGTGCTGTCTGACTAATTTTCTCCAAAAGGTTATTCACTTGGAAACAAAGTGATTGGATCTGTTTGTCCCATGTTGGCAGGGCTTCTCGTGTTTCAAAATGAACTATTCCATCAATCTGATCGATAAATCCATTCATACGGCCTTCTGTTATCATTTGTGATGCTATCTTTTCTGCCTTAGCTGCAGAGATCTCTAAAAGAGCTCCAAGTTCTTCGAAGGTAATATTATTATATAATTTGCTTGCAGACAACAAATTGTGTTCAATAACAGCTCTGTCCAAAATGCTGGAACCATCAGCTGTGGTTGCTTTTTGGTGAGGCATCAGCATGGCAGCAAATTCTTGAAGTTGATTTCCTCTGATGATCCTATCTAGGTACATTTTCTCTAGGATCCCATAAGCAGCAAGTTGCTGGCACCTTTCCTCCTTAAAAAGAGTAGCTAGCATCCAAGAACGCTGCTGTCCTGCTGATGCTAAGATGGTACAGTGCAAAGCATGTTTTAAGGCCTCTAGTCTTTCACTTTCCTGCACTATTGTCTTGTAAGAGAGCTCACTGTACCTTTGTGCAGCTTCAATGAATTTTCTTCTGTAATCAAGAACACGTGCATAGCATACCTTATAATATATCTGTAACTGTTCGTTGGTTGATTCATTCTGAAGCAATGATGCTCAATTTATGTAAGCCTCTGCCTGGACGGGATCATCATCCTCCAGATATAGCCTAGCAATCTTCAGGTATGTCTCCAGTTTATAATCTACATTGTATTCTTTTTGTCCTGTTTCCAAAGGAATTCCCACCAACACTTGGGCTGCATTTCTCCAGTCTTCTTTCTCATATATGGATGCAAGATGCTGTCTTATGGAAACAACCTGCTCCTCAAATGAAATGACTCTAGGCTGGATCTTCTCCAAGGTGAAATGATAGATTTCTTTGGCTGTGCTCTCAGGCTCTCAGGCAGGTTAGGGAGATGTGTGCAGAAATCAGTCAGCAACTGTCGAGAGATCACAAGGCTGACATTCTCATTTACCATTGCTTCCACAAAAGCTTTCAAAGCTTCTAATTGTTCTGCCCCAGATAACCGAATGGCTTTTTCCAGGATCTGGCGATACTTGCCCGCCAGATCTTTATGAGAGCCGCTTGAATGCATGAGCTGAGCCAAATCCTGTCCCACGGCTGCTGCCATCTTTCTTCCAGCTCAGCCAAGGCTGCTGGGCCTCTCACTGCCAGAAGGAAACCGAGTGTCCTTTCTTTCTTATTTTTTATCTCTTGGTCTATACTGCTGCAGATTTTGAAAGAACTGTCCAACTTTATCTTCCAATCCTCTTATTATGCTTTCCATTACCATTCTCTCATTATTAATTTCCAAGAACTACTTATTCCATCCTCTGGATGTTCTTTTCTTTTTAAACAGCATCTTGTTCTTGTTTAATGAATATAATATTA